GACACGAAGGCAAAACGCTTTTTAACCCTACTTATCCATTCCCCTCTCACCTCTCTCGCCTCTCGCAACAAATCTTCCAGCCCACCCCCTTGTCCCAGAACTAGGGGTACTACAAGTTTCGCCCAAGCCTCCGGAGCTACGAAAATAACTGCGGTCACTTCAAGACTCCGCCCAAGACCTTGGCCTTCCACTTCTTTGGACTCTACCCACACGAATTCCCCACTAACCGTGGACCTCSCYCCTTCTATCCTTTCCCAATCTGGGACCTCGCCGTTGCTAGGGACCAACCTAAATGTCTCACGGTCCTCTAAAGAGGACTCTAAGAMGCATCCTYGCTCTCTATCATGGAACACCATTCATCTAGAAGATTCTTTGTGGCACCCCGAAGACTCTTTGGTATCCGTAGTCCCTACCTCCCTCGCGGTCCCGGGTAGACTCCCTAAAGATCCCGGCACGAATCCTACACGCCTTGATCTCGTATGGTACCRGRTTATCCACGCAATAGGTGTAGTACCAATGGAGCGACCTAACAGAGAGYTGCCACCCCCTTTCTCGCACTATGGACCGTACAACTTTGTCGTACCGCTCCTCCTTCTCGCTCACCCTTYGGAAAATGAATGACGGGAAAATGGCTCTGACGCACCCTGTGGCGMGGRGGTACTCCTCGTCTCGCGCGCAGGTCACCCTTCCCTCAATGGGCGGGCAGTGTCTAAGGGGTTCAGCCTCAAAGATCTGCCTCAAAATCGGACCCGCTCGTGCCTCSYAATSATCCACACGGTACCACCCCAGGACCAAATGTGTAACGTAATCGACCCTGGCCTCCTTACTCAAATAAACAGTTCCTTCCGCACGGATTACCGTTCGCCTGGGTCTCTTTCCGTTCTGGGCCCTGTTCCGGGACCACSTSTCCCCCTCCCAAGTTCCTACCGCGAAACGAKCCCAAAGAAAAACTCCTCGTTCKAGCTCTAACCCCCTCTCGCGGCCGGTTAGATACCTCTCCGTGCGGTGGTCTAAGGGGACGCTGAAGCACTCTTTGTCTTTGCTTAAATCCGCCTTTTTTATCCGAAYCCCTCCTTCCTTAGTWACCTCAACGATCCTAACCATCCCCTTGGATTATCTCTTCTATGATTTYAACCAGCGCCCTCCAATCGTCCRACCCATCCAGGAAAGCGTCTGGAATAGTGGGGACAGGCCTACCCCCTCATGAAAACGTCCTACACCCCAAYGAGTAGAAGTAGTTAATCTCGTAAGCCCCCAGCAGTTGCCTCTCGAGCTGTGCRTGACCGATCGCTTCCTCCCAGCTATCCAAATAACCTGCCTCCCTATCAACACCCTCTTCTACGAACAAGGCTATGTCGAAGTGGCCGGTCCACCAGTAGAAGGTAAAGCACCACACGTCTACCCCGCCTCGATCACCTACACTGATTCCCGCGGGTTCAAACTCCAAAGGCCTCAAACTCATGTATTCGCCGCTCTCACCACTCTCTCCACAATCCCTACTAGCACTTTCCATTCATCCGACCCATCGAGATAAGCGTCCGGAATTACCGGCGCCGGGCGACCACCTCTCGGGTAGGTTCGATATCCTAGAGAGTAGAAATACTTGTAYCCGTAACCCCTCAATTCCTCCTGCGAACAGCRGGAGTGGCYTATCGCCTCTTCCCACCCACGAAGGAAGTCCTCTCCTTGATCTTGTCCTTCCTCTACATAGACACCCACATCAAAGTCCCCTGTCCATAGTCTAAAGGAGTAACACCACACGTCAACCCTTCCGTGCGTACACACACTAATCCATTTTGGAACGGCTTCTAGGCTCATGCAGTATAATCAAAGGAAAATTCCCTAAGTTCCTACTTCCTTTTGGCCGTTCGAGAGACCACCTCTATCCCGCGACGAAGAGAAGCCTGTGAGCTCAGAAGGATCAAATGGACCAGAGAAGGAGTGTCGTTTCACTCGGCTACCTTCCTGTCCTCCTCCGCTGAGAGACTCCTCCCCACTCTCGGCCTAGAGACTAGCCGCGGACACAAGTTATCCCCGAGGAAGGGTGGCAACCCCCTCCTCGGAGTCGGACCGAAGTCACACACCCGGGCCCTATGTCCCTCACTGAACCGACCTCTAGTCCTAAGTTAGCCTATCCGACACCACGCTTCTACTCGGCCCACCTCAAGCGTTGAATTACCAGGGTCCCAGAACAAGATCCTACTATGTATCAGAAATCACTAGCCTATCTACTCCCTCCCCATTCCCCTCATCGTGAACTCTTCGCACTTCGTTCCCTTCTTCCTTTTTCGTCTCCTGCTGCCTCTTTTCTCTCTTGGAATCACTGGAAAATCGGGGAGTCAGAAAAAAAATGGTGCGGGAAGAGCGGAGCTTTGGAAGAGCCTCTCAAGTTAGGTAGATAAGTATACGTACCTTGAGTCTTCAATATTCGTTATCGTAGTCCCAATAGTCCCCCAGATCCGAGTCCGAGAAATCGGCCAGACACCGGTCCACCCAGGATTCGACCTCCGATCCCTCATCCAAGGTCCCCCAAGTACCCTCTTCTTCTCTAATGCCCTCGCTAAGACGGGTAGGTGGGTCTCTCTCTCCCCCTCGCCCCGGTGCCCGTAGCACCACTCTCCTCTCCCCCAAGTCCTGAACCGGTGCCGTTTGAGAATCTCACTCCCTTGCGGGAGTTGGAACCGCAGATAGCCCCCGCGGGTCGAGAACCGAAGCCCCTAACCCCTCTCTAGACACACTTTCTCTTGCGGGACTTTGCCCCCGGGTAGGTGCCCTCCACAACCCGTGTGGATCAAGAATACTTGGTGACCCCCTTGGGTCCCAAATAGACAGCGTCACCGGACCCCCTCGGACCTCTCTCTCTCTCTCTCTCTCTCTCTCTCTCTCTCTCTCTCTCTCTCTCTCTCTCTCTCTCTCTCTCTCAGACCCCCTTACACTATTTTCCCGGACTGTTCTTCTCCCCCACCTTTCGTTGTTCTTCACCCTCTTTCAGACCCTTCAAACAAACTGTGCTCCCCCTAATTTTGTAAATTTTTAGAAATAAACAGGCGCAAAAACCAAGCACACACAATGAAGAGGAACTGACCTGGTTTACCCCTCGAAGGCCGGAAGCGGGAGCCGAGATCGCAAGCGGGCCAGAGCGGACCTGCAAATAAAAAAAGCCAAGGAAACCAATCCCAATGCCGGAAGCCCCTCCCACCCGACAAGCCCAACAACAACCCCTCACCCCAATAAAACCCCTCGCCGATGCCGCTTGAGAAGAATCGTGTAGAACCCGATGAAGATCACCTTGAAGCCGTGTGCTGAAAGACTTGATGCCGAAAAAAAAAAATGCAGAAAGCCACCGACTTTCACTACCACTGCCTGTCGCGCCGGTCCTCCCCTTACACCGAGTCCTTTGAGCCGGCCACGCCCGCGGGAGAAATGCTCATCCCCGGCAACAACGCCACTTTGTCAAGGAGTCTCCCCTTGCTCTTCCCTCTCTTCTCCCCCGTCCTCTCAGGCCCTTTTTAGCATTGTTTTTCTTCCGCCTCCACTCCCGAGATAGGGAGCAAGTGACGCCTTCATTGTGTCGGCTCGGTAATACAGTGAAGTGAGAAAATATCCGAGTGTCGCGGCTAAGGATGAGCCCTGCCGGCGGAAAGCGACTGAGCACTTGGTCCGCTGCGCGAGTAAACCGTTCGGAGCTAGAGCGGGGCCTTCCACCAAGCCTTAGTGACCTGAACGGAGCGGTGCCCAACCTTGATTCGAGCCCGAACAACCGCACGGATTCGGACGCCGCCGGGCCTATTGGCACCGTAGTCGGGCCGAGCATCCCTACCCCCTCGTGAAAACCTTCGTATAGGTCGTGTCTTCTAGCGATCGGAGACGAGGCTTTGACCCCATCCGTAAGTCGGGCATGGACATTCGGGGAGTCCCCCAGGACGGCTCAAGCTTTGCCAGACTGCGCTCAGAGGCTGGTGGCTATAGGCGAGCACCTACGACCTGTCCGGATCCCAACATGGCACAACAGACTCAGAAACACACTAATGTTCGAGAGAAGCGAGCCCTCTGGAGCAGTGCGGAGCACAAAAAGGAGCTCCCGACCCGTTTGCAGCCAAGTTCACCGTACATAAACAGAAACAAGCCG